CTACGTGGGATTCTTTGTTTTTCTGATTTAAAGTTTAGATTGTGAAATGTGTGAATCTTAGGTATGTGTCCACTGATCTGCCTGCCTAACATGATGACCAAGGTTCCTATTATACCCAGGAACTGTAAAGCCCCTCTTCCCCAGGCCACATCCCAATCCAGTAGGTCTGCGTGGGGCTCTGGAATCTTGTGTTTCCTATCTGCCTAAATGCTTATGCTCAGCACACAGTGTCTGGGGTGAGAGTCCACCAGCGTTTGGCTGTGGGTTCTCGCACTTGAGGGGCATTGCACATATGTTAACACACAAGGGGGGCACCTCCCAGTTGTCCAGTTCTCCTTCCCACTGGCCTGCTGAGAGTAATGAGTTCCTGGATCTTACCTCTCCAAGGTCATCACCTCTGCAGCTCTTACTTGGACACCCCTAGCACCAGGATTACAATGGACCTGTAGGGGCCTGAGGGGTTGGTGAGGGCACAAATCATGGTGGTAGGTCCCAGAGCCAGGCTGGCCTTGGGTGGCGTCTTAGCTGTGTGACCTTGGGCAAGTTCCTCACCCTCTCTGGACCTTGTGGACAGCGGGTAGTGACAGTAGGTGTGTCAGGCTTGGTTCACAGTGGACTCTGGACACTGGGTGTTGTTTGCCATGTGGTAGAGGCACTTACTCAGCTAGAACTGATTGCCCCCCCAAGGGAGCTGCACGTCTGTGCTGGGCATCAGCAGGTCTCCTTGGGTTGTGTCCACAACATGCTAGGCAGGTTGGGTGCGGAAGTTCTGTGGGGACAAAGAAACACCTGCCCGACCCTGCCAGACTTTGAGGAGAATATGGAGCAGTAGCTGAATGTCGATTGCTTAGGGGTCCGGCCGTTCCCCCATTACTGGATTTGGGGCTCCACTGGCATAGGTCCACGGGCATGTGGGCTTCCAGAGAGACAGTTCAGTGCACCCTAGGGTTGGTGAAGCCCACGGAAATGAGGTGGAGGAAGAATGGAAGGGGTGCAGCCAACAGTCCTCTCTACCCAGTGCCCTCCCATGTTTGCTGAAAAAACACAGGACTTCCGTGTGTCTGTGGGCGTTTTCCCTCAACTTGGGTTTGCCTCTGAGCGAGTCAGGCTAGGGCAGTGCTCTGTTTATTTGCATTTTAAACTTAATTTCTTGACAGCGAGAGAGGCTTTAACTGAGTGACTAAGCCCCTTAATCCTGGCAGTAGCCTGTGTGGTAGGTGGTACAGGGGACAGAGGAGGCTCCAAGATTCAGGAACTTGCTTACAGTAACACCTCCACCTGGCCCCCAAGTTGGCTTGTTCCAGACCACTAGGCCCCTACCCTGATTTGGGAATGAATTCAGGGGTCCCTAAGCCCGGGAGGATGCCCCCTGGCCTTGAGGGATGGAACCGCCCTCCCAGTCTTGTCAGCGTTGAAGGACCTTCCGTGGGGTCTTCTCCCTTTGGGGCTGGGTGCAGGGGAGGGGTAGACAGCAAAAGTTCCTCTTGGGCTGAACCTGGCTCTCGGCCCCTTGGAGCTCCTCAGGAGGTCCCTTGAGTCCGTTAGCTCACCTCTTCTTTGAGATACCAGCATGAGTCAGGTTGGGTAGGTGCCTCCATCCTCCAAGTGAAGGGATGAGCTTGGAGAGGCTGCCATTGCTCTCCAGTGGACGTGTCCACATGCAGCCGCTCAGAGACCGCAGGCTGCAAACAAATACTGAGCCACGATTGTTTCCAGGAGCTCACTTTTGATCCCTCCTCATTTGTTATTTTATGCACATGAAGCGGGCAGCTTTCCTCTTCTCTTGGCCCAGGTGTGTGGTGTCCCTGCTGTGGGAAGTGGTCCCAGGTGAGTCCTCACAGTCTGCAGAGCTTGAGAGACTGGTGCTGGGAACGCCAGGGGTCCCAGCTTCCAGCTCTGGCTTCAACCTGGTGTTGCCAGGCCTAGCAAGAGGCTCCCTCCTCACCACCTCCAGTTTCTGGTCACTGTTGTTTCTGGAGAAAAAAATTTTTTAAAGCGTGAGGTGGTTTGTATGATCCAGTTACAGAGTCTCTGGGTGCAATGGTGAGGGAGTGGATCCTGGGGTCCCACAGAACTGAGCAGGGTTCCCGTGAGCACCATTTACTAATTGTGTGGTCTTAAGTAAATTTCTCAGTCTTCCTGGGCCTCAGTTTCCTCATTTGTAAAGGCAGAGTCATGAACCATGGTCCCAAACCTCTTGAGGTCGCTGTGAGGACAGAGCATCATCTTCATGGGTCTAGAGCTGCTATAACAGAAGTGCCACAAGGGGGCGACTCTAACCAACAAATTTATTTTCTCACAGTTTGGGAGGCTAGAGCCGTGGCTCTGGAGAAATAGCATCTGTAGACTCAGCCTTCCTTAGAAATCCCCATGTGTCTTGGCATCTGTCTTTTCCTTGGATCTAGGAACTTCACAGGGCAAGGGCCCTAGGTTCCCAGGGGTGCTCCCCTCCCAGCTCTTCTTTCATGGTGGCAGGGGATCCCCTTCCCTGCTCATTTCAGGCTCCTTTCATCACTTGTAAGATAAAAGGTGTTGTTTGTCACACCCCTAGGAATCTCTCTTAGCCATGGATCAGGTTCTTGAAGCCACCAACTGCTTCTCAGAACCCCTATACAGGATTCATACCCAATGGTGGTATGAACATTTAATGTTGGCATTTTGACAGCTCCACTGGGAATCAGTCACCCAGTGATGGGGTCAGTTCAGACCCATAGCAACCCTACAGGACACACTAGGGTTTCTGAGGCTGTGAATCGTTATGGGAGCAGAGAGCCTCATCTTTCTTGCACACAGCAGTATTAAGATGATTCCAACTGGAACATTGCCATTTCCCTTCACGACCACCCTTGGCCATGTGCTTTATAAGCCCAGGACATGGATGAAGAAAGTTTATGTCTAAGGTCTTCATGAACAAATTCCCTAAGTAGTTTTGGGTTGGTTTTTTTTTTTTTGGTGTTTTCTTCTTTATTGATGTGCCTCCTACCTTCTCCCAACACACAATTTTAGTCCCTTCCATCTACCCCCCAAATAGAAGGGAACAAGAGGGATTGTTAGGGTTCTAAGCCCCTTGGGTAGTTACAAAGGGACAGAAACCAGAGCAATCATTGGATGTGAGACTGACCACCAAAAGGTCTAAAGTAGAGTGGGAAAGGTGATAGAAAAAGGAGGAAAAAAGAGGTACTAAGGGCCATCTCTTTTACCCCTCCTGGTAGGAGGGCCTAGACAGAAAGCCTCAAACATGAAATAGTGCAGCTTCTGAAGAAGGAGGGGTGGGCCAAGAAAGGGACCTCCCCACCTTAGGGGCAACAGCTTCACCGGCTGTGGACACTCTCATCACTGTAGGCAATGTATACAAAGAAGTCTTCTTCATGGTGTTCCTGGTATAGCTGATCCATGTGGCATGGTGGGTGGAAAGACATTGTTGACAAAGAAAAACAAGGCATCTTCAGCTCGGAGATGAAGTCGCTTCCAGATTAAGAACTAGAACTGACCAACTGTGAGATCAGAAGGCACCAAATAGTTCTTTTTGTCTAGATCACCCATCCAAGCTTTTCCACTATCACCGGGACCCGTCCGGTCTGGGTATTTCTTTTGGATCTTCTCACCCTCAGAGCTGCGTTTCTCGAATAGATGCTCCTCTTTATACACAAACTTCATTCTCCCAGGATCCAGGCTGGGCTGGGCTAGACCGAGGGAACCCGGGGGAGCCGGGGACCCTGAAGTAGTTTTTAATTGATATAAAATGCCTTTGGGGGTGAGGGAAGAGGTGCTGAAGAACTGGCTGACCACCAGCAGCCAAGGTTTCCATCCCTCCCTGCTAACTATCAGAATGACTCCACTTTGCTTTTGGTCTCATGTCTTCCAAAGGTCCTTCTCCTCATCCAGTCCCAGCCATCAGCATTACTGAGTGCTAGGAACAACTCGGGCCCTGGGGACACCCAGGCTTCCACAGTTCTGCTGGCTGCTCACTTTTTTATATTCTCTGCTAACTTGGGAGCAGAGTGTTCTCCATTATTTTAATGGGTCGGCCGAACACAGACTTCCTTTGTCTTTGGCCGTCTTCCTAGTCTTGATGGCATGCTGATGATACCTGCAGAGTCAGCAGGTTCACTTAGCAGACAGACGACTTCAGGGTTTTTGTTTATTTATACCCACCTTTTTCCGGAAGGGACTTACGACCGCTGAAATTGACAATTTAACTCTGTTCTGACTGCATGTTTAATTCAAAGAAGGGTCTAGAAGATGCTGGCTTTCCTGCATCCCACCCAGCTTGGCATTTGAGATTCCAGGGTCCTTGGCCTTAACTTGAGCTTTGAGACCTGAGTACCATCAAACTCACCCTCTGGGCTCCATTTCTGCATCTGTGGAATGGGGTACCACTCCTCCCTCTGGGCTGTTACAAGGTTGTGAAGTGCTGGCTGTGTCTGTAATTCCACCAGGACTGACTTCTGATGAGTGATGACAGGCAGAGGGACACCTCAAATGGAGAGCCAGCTATATGCCAGCCAGCACATGCTGCTCAGCAATGGGACTGTCCGAGTGCTCTCACCTTCCCTGAGCTGTAGGTCTCTCACCTGACTCTGCTGTGATCTTGAGGCTTTCCTGCGGACTTCCCGCTTTACCTCCGTGTTTCCTTGTTGGCACCTTCAATGATTCCCAGCAAAGGTAGCTCAGGGCCGGTGACCCTGGTGGCTTGTTTCCATCCCTGCTCTCTTCACTGAGCTCTCACAGCAGGAGTGTCTGATGTGAGGTGCTGGGGCTGTGGCCAACTGCAGACCATCAACCCCATGGGCAGTGACTGCTCCGCTGTCCTGACCACCATGCCAAGTGAGTGTCTCACCAAGTGCAGTCCAGCCCATAGGCGCTCTGATGTTCTGATGGCGACTTTGTGGGTGCGTCTGTCTCTGAGGAGGCAGTGGGGGGAGGGTGGATCTGTTTGTGAGGGGTCTCAGGGAGGCTGAATGCATACCTTGACTGCTTTCCGTCTCTTCTTCTTACAGAGCCCTCAACGATGGTGGTGCCGCCAGCCAGCTCAGAAGCCCAGGTACTGTTACAATAAATTTTGCAATTACCTGATTTGTATCAGAGATTACACACATTGCACAACATGACTATAAAGCGTATCAATCTTCCATGTTTCAGAGAGAAGACATGTGGCCCAGGGTGAGCACACAGTGTCCTTGGTGAGGAGGACCCAGTGCCTCAGGGGCCTCTTCCCCACTTGGCCTGGGAGCAGCAGGAAGTAGTGATGCACTTGATGTTCTGAGATAAAGTCATAGAAATGCGTATCATTAATTCAGTGAATCTGTTGTATTCACGTCTCTCTGTTGAGTTAGGAATTAGGCTTGGGGAATGCAGTGGTGAGTGGAACAGCGCTATCCTCAAGGCATTTTGGGGACAAATGAGATCCTGTTAGCCTTTCCTTTTTTCTTTTTTAACTTGGATAATGATATTGTGTGGCCACTATAACTTTCTGATGAGTCACGCTTACATGTGCATCTTTTTCCTAGAATTTGTGTTTGCATGTTTATCTGCTCCTGACGATTCATGTTCACATGGTACACCTTGTTCCATTCTTTTACTTTGAGTCTGGATTCTGGAATGTGAGGCCAGGTAAACAAAGGCATAGCCATTTCCCTGCCCCCGCCTGGAGACTTAAAAAAAATAAACCATATAGATATTGTTGTTGTTGTTGTTAAGTGCCGTCGAGTTGGTTCCAACCCACAGCGACCCTATGTAGGGTTTCTGAGGAGCAGCTGGTGAGCTTGAACTGCCGACCTTACGGTTGAAATGGCTTTGCAGTCTGGCGCATTAACCCACAGCACCATACACACACAGTATATATATATATAAATACATACCTATGCTTAAGTAGCGTAGTGGTTACGAATCGGGCTGTGAACCGCAAGGTCAGCAGTTCGAAACTACCAGCTGCTCCACGGGAGAAAGATGAGGCTTTCTACTCCCGTAAAGATTTACAGCCTCGGAAACCCTGCTCAGGGTCGCTATGGGTCAGAACCGACTCGACGGCACTTAACAACAACAACATACATATATATACAAATATTTATTACTTAAGTAATTTTTTCTGTTCTTTGACCTCACCTTTCCTCGTTTTTGTTTGTCGTTTAATGAACTGCCCTAGCACGTCACTTGGTTGGTGGTAGGAAGTGACAGGTTTGCCATGGAAGCCTGAGAAACATGTCTGCCTTGGGATGATTTCTCGGAAGATCTCTTCCGATAGAGGACGAGATCAGGGGAAGAGATGAGAAAGATTAGCACTTATGGACCCTGTTGTCTTATTTTTTAGTGTTTTATTGTGAATTGTGTGATAGTTTACATGAGAGAACATTAGTTTTACATTCATCCTATCGTATACCATTTCATTGCCATGGTTACAATCCCCTCCATGCATCATCAACCAACCAAAGGGTATACCCTGCAAGCCTGCCCCCTGGTTGTCAGCACACAGCCCCTCTCCCTCTCTGGGTCTAACGTCCCTAGCCACTCCATCTCTCCACGTCATCGTCTCTACCTCCATCTCTGGCTTCACTGTTTCTCTGGGTAGGGTTCTGCACTCTGCTTTTCTCCATTGATTCCAGGGACCTCTGCTTCTGGACTGCAAAGTCAATCACGCCCCTCCTTTTGCTACAAAACATCTACTGCATTTCCAACCCTCACAGTCAGTCCTGATAGCAGTTATTCAGTAGTGTGCCACATGAGTGCTATCCCTATCTCCTTTCAGCAGCTCCACCCAGACAGACTGGATACTGCTTAGTAGAGATTCTACCTTCCTCTGCACCCTCTGGATCTGGGCTCCCTCTTGAACACTTGTAAGCCAGTCACTTCTTGCCTTTGTAGCGGCCCTCCCCCTTCATTTTGGGTAGCCAATGTCCAAGTTGCCCATCCCTGTCTACTCTGTGTATGGAGGGGTTGGGAATGATCCTCGTTGTAAAGATTTGTTCCCTTTTTTGAGCTACTGCATCCATAGGTGTAGGTCAAGTTCATCAAATTGTATCAGAATACTCTTTTTTCCTCTTCTATATTCTTCTATTTGAGTTCTGATGATCCAGTCATTGAAGCCAGGATAAGTGGGTATTATCTGCAAGTGTGGGTGTTCTTGTGCATATGCCCTCTCTTCTTATCAGCTGGACACTTCACTCTCCACTCTAGTCTTCTGTGGCTATGTCACTGACTCTGGGCCCAAGAGTTCCCAGGTCTTGCCATGCTGCTGGCCAACCAGGTCTCCACCCGTGGACCCTGTTTTCTTAATATGTCAGGTCATCTACCGAAACACACATTTTATGAATATAGCAAAGATAAAAGGAGACACTGCAATGGAGCCCATTCGGGCAACATCAGGCCTTCACTAAGACTCATTTGTAACCAGGTCATTCTCCCAGTGCATCTCACAACATACTCTGCCCAGACTATTGCAAGAAAGGAACTAACTGTGGTAATCATCTGGGAGATTCTCATGTCTGACAGGACGGTAGGCTGGTGATGGCATGGCACCCACTATACAAATTACATCGCTACTCAACAATGGTTGTTGTTAAGTGCCATCGAGTTGTTTCGAAGTCATAGTGACCCTGTATAGGGTTTCCGAGCAAACAGCTGGTTAACCTGAACCGCCCACCTTGTGGTTCAATCTGACCTTGCGACCCCGTGCACTGGTCCACAGCGCCACACCAGGACTCCTAGACTATTGTTAACAGTCATTAAGTCAGCCCCCAATCATGGCAGCCCCAGACACAATGGAATGAAATGGGCCCAGTCGTCTGCCATTGCCATCATGAAAGAAGGACATTGTTTAGATGCCAGCAGTGTCCTCCTCTCAGCTCCCAAGCCACCACCTGACCCACACATCAGCCCATAAATCTCAAAGTTGAGCTAGCTCTTGTGGATTGAATTGTTATCATACACAGTTTCCACTGGCGGATTTTTGGAAGAAAATCACCAAAGGCTTTTAAAGGAGACCTGCTGTTTCTGTTTTGAAATACTTACAAAGAACCTTGGGCTTTGCTTCAAGTGGGGACTGTATCTCTCAGAGGCCTGATACACTGTCCCTGGGAAACAAGCCGGAGCTGTGTATCACGTTACTCTAGCTTCCAGATGCTGCATTTCATGAAATGCAGTAACTTCTGTGCAAGACCCTTCCTGAGCCCCTTCAGTTGTGGGGGCAGGTCCCTGGGCTGGCAGGAACACAGGCTTCTCATGTTCCCACACCTGCATCCCCTAGCCCAGGGGTCCCTGCTATCTCAACTGTGAGTGAGGGGGGGCCAGCAGGTGCCCAGACTCTGGCCAGCTGCCCAGATTTGTCCTTGTGAGAAGCAGCAGTCTCTTTGCCTTCCAGGGAAAGTTTCCAGGGAAGGCCAGGGCACCGGCAGCCTCAGATAAGAGACTGGGATTGGTCACGGCAGAACTGGCTCTGGTCAGCAGTACAGGGAGAGACCCTTTCTGTTCTACCCTGGGTCTCCACTGCCTTAGGGTAGCATGATATCCATATGGGGGATGTGATCAGAGCCTCTGGACCAAGTTACATTCCCACCACCCACCTCTGGGCCAAGAATCATGGGAACTTGTGTGAACTGTGTCTCTTGGCAACCCCAAACCACAAAACCAGGCTGAGCCCAACTTTGTATGGTGTTGTTTAGTGGGCATTAGGGGCATTCACCAGCAGTCCACTACCCATGCACTCCACCCTGGCTTGGTGCCCTGAGTCTGACCTGTTTGGGTTGGGTGGTCATTAGGCATTGAGTGGCCGTGCCCTCTGGCCTTTCCTGAGTGTGACTTAGAGCTGGGTAGTGACTGCTGACCTCGAAGAGATAAAGTGTGCTTGAGGAAGACTGAGCCACTGTTCACTGTAGCTGGGACTTTGCTCTTCTACTCACTCCCAAGGCCTTCAGGGCTTATTCTAAAATGTTTCCCCATGAGACAGGATAGAGGTCCTTGTCATCAAGCCCTTGTCCCTGCCTGAGTCTGGTTTCCAGAGGCTCAGGTTCCTTCAGTTCCCAGAGGCCTTCAGCCAGGGCCTCCTACAGGGGAGTCAACCATCTGGATGGCAGCTACCAACCACAAAGAAGTCTCCTCGGCAGGAAGACTGGTTCTGGCTTCCCACACTGCATGGGTAGTGGGTGGAAGTACATTTGGGCTGTGCTGAGGTTGGCATCATGGGCATGCAACATCAAGTCTTGTGTGGACTGTGTGTTTGCTTTTCTCTCGATGAAATGCCAGGAGGGGTATCAATAAATCGCGTGGTAGATGATGTTTTGCAAAGTGGCTGAGCCTTCTGGGGCATAGCCTTTCAGCTGTGTTGGGCTCTTGGCTATCCCATGTGCCATGGGGCCAGTGCCCTTGGGCAGGCAGGTGGCTGTTTCCATTTCATTGTTGCCAGCTGTGCTGTCTGCACTCCTGGTTCTCCTGCGGTGTACCATGGGGCTCCGGCATGTCAAGAACCTCTGATTCAGGACAGGACCCGGATGTCCCTCTGCAATGCCTTCGCCCTTCCTGTGTGCCTCTATTCCACCTGGGCATTCTGTCCCACTCTTGGACCTGCCCTGTGGTTCTCCTGCCTTTGTGCGTGCCTGACCGCCCATTGACCACTGGCTCACCCCGCAGATGGTGCAGTCGCTGGGCTTTGCTATCTACCGTGCGCTGGACTGGGGCCTGGACGAGAGCGAGGAACGTGAGCTCAGCCCACAGCTGGAACGGCTCATTGACCTCATGGCCAACAGTGATAGTGACGACAGCAGCTGCGGCGCAGACGAGGGTTACGGGGGCCCGGAGGAAGAGGAGGAGGCCGAAGGTGGCCCGCGCGCAGTGCGGACCTTCGCTCAGGCCATGCGGCTGTGTGCTGCACGCTTGACTGAACCCCGTGGTGCGCAGGCGCACTACCAGGCTGTGTGCCGCGCGCTCTTCCTGGAGACACTGGAGCTGCGTGCCTTCCTCTCTCGTGTGCGCGAGGCCAAGGAGGTGAGCAGCGTGACTGGTGAGGTGTGGACGTCTCCCCTCCACCCCTTCCCATCCCTCCATCCCTCACGCTCCTGCTTTGTGCAACCCGGAATTGGAGCTCCAGCGAACCCTCTAGCCTGGGCTGGCATTTTGGGCAGGAATGGCCTGCTGAGGACCAGTGTGGGCACTGCAGGGGGAAGGGTGTGCCACCTCCCCACCCTTAGCCCAGAGGGACTGCCAGGTCACACCTAAGGACTATTATTAGACTCCACACACTGCTGGCAGTGTTTTGTAGAACGTCCCAAAGCAAACTGGCAGAAGCTGGGGTAGCCAGTTCTTAGTTGGGGGGGGGGGGGGGGGGGGGCAGGGGTGTGTGTGTGTAGGGTGTGTAGGTTATGTGCTAACAGGTAGATGCTTCTGGGTGGGGGAGTGGGTTAAGACAGAGTCCTGCATCCCCCTAACTGCCGCAGAGGTCAGGGCCAACAAGGCTGGCAGTCCAGCGTTCTCAGTGTAATAGTCCCAGGTACCCTCCTTGAGTCTTGACACAATTGTTGGCATTTTTCTTGGTTCATCCAGTACAGACCTGTGAGTGATTCCCAGAATTGACTTGCCCTTTCATCTGCCTACTCACCCACCCACCCAGCACTTACCCTTCCATCCTTCCATCCGTCCATTCACTTACTACCCATCCATCCACCCACGTACTCGTTCACCCATCCTGCTCATCCATCAGTGCATGCATTCTTCCATCTACCTATCTATTCGTCTACTCATTCACCCAACTCACCCATCTACCCTCCATCCATCCACTTACCCATCCAACCCACCACCCATTCATTAAAGCATATATCCTTCCACCCACCCACCCACCCACCCATCCACTCACCCATCCATCCCCCCACCCATCTATCCTCCATTCACCTATCCACTCACTCACCCAACCCACCCATCCACTAATGCATATATCCTTCCACTCATTTACCCACCCACCCTTCCAGCCACTTACTAACCTATCCACTCAGCCACCCTCCTCCATCCATCTACTTACTCATCCACCCTTCATGCTGCTAGTCCTTTACGTATTCATTTATTCATTCATTCCATCTACTATGTGCTACTCTGTTCTAGCTGCCAGGAGTTTATTAAGCCTGTAGTTTATTAAGGACAACAGATGTTAGTCAAGAAGTAGATGAGTACAGAACCCCAGCTGGGCTCCTGAGCTAGGAGGAAGGGTAGACACATGGCTGTAGAGGTGGGTTCTTCACAAATGAGCGAGTACCAATGTTTGTGGCTGAGGTTTAGGCAGGGAGTCTGTCCTCAATGGGGTGGGAGCAGGCATCTTCTATGGACTGGGAGAGCCATGGGTGTGTGCTGTCTTCATAGCCTCCCCAATAGAAGGGGCCAGAGAAGGCTGAGGAATCATGGCCAGCTGGCTGGGGGGTGGTAGTGTGGTTGTCCACCACTCCCTACCATCTGCTAGACTCAGGAGACTTGGCCTGTGGTTGCAGATGCTACAGAAGTTTCGGGATGATGAGCCTCAGGCAGAGAGGTCCCTGGCGGAGCTCGATGACCTGGGCCGCACAGACTGGGTAAGAGTGGCCCACACCCTGCATGGACACAGACCTTCTCCAGTCTTGTGCTTGGAGGTTGGGTGGGAACCCTGACCTGGCATGAGGCTCCACGTCTCCCTCTGTGTGTAGGCTAGACTCTGGGTCCAGCTCATGCGGGAGCTTCGCCACGGAGTGAAACTCAAGAAGGTGCAGGATCAGGAGTTCAACCCGCTGCCCACGGAGTTCCAGCTCACGCCCTTTGAGATGCTCATGCAGGACATCCGAGCCCGAAATTACAAGCTGCGGAAGGTCATGGTGCGTCGTGAGGAGGAGTGTGGTTGAACTCCTGTCTGCCTTCGCCCTCTTCTTCTATCCCTCCTTCTTCCCTGCCAGCAGCAGCTCTGGAGATGCTGCCCTGTGCTGGGATGAGCTGAGTCCTGAGTCATGAAGGAGGTAGACAGGCCCCTGCCTTGAGGTTCATTCGTGTTGGGGACACTAGAAGTGTCACAAGGGCAGAGGATATGTACAAGTTCTGGAGGGTGGGGCACACAGTTTCTCGCTAATAAAGAGTTGCACACAGGACTTTGAATCAGTTCAGTTATGGCAAGAGAAAGGAAACCACAACAGACCTGAATTAGAAAAATGTGGGTAATTCAGAACAGTAACCAAATAGGAAAAATTGCAGGTCAAAGCCCTAGAATGGGAGAGTCTTTGTGAGCCCTTTCAGGATCCTGATGCAGGAGATTGGATTCTTGCCAAGAATGTGGAGTGTGACACATACTCAAAACAGCGTGGTCAGCTGCCATCTCTGAGCTGGGCACTGTTGTTTCTCACTCTGTTGATCAAGAGATTTGTCTGCTTTGCACCGTGCATTCTGCCCTTGTTTTCTAAGAGGGACATTGAGATTCTGTTAGGGTTTTGACCAGAAATTCTCACCATATTCCATGAGTGGGTGCTCTTAGCCCCATCCAGATGAAGACCCTGGGGTACGTGACCCTGGGAGCTACGCAACCCTGCAGACATAGCTTCTACCCTCTTCTGGTTTCCCCACAGGTCGATGGGGATATTCCTCCAAGGGTAAAGAAAGATGCCCATGAGATCATCCTGGACTTCATCCGCTCCAGGCCGCCACTGAAGCAGGTACTGGTCAGCCTCCCTCCTCCACTTCCGGTCCCTTCCACTGCCTCCAGGAGGAATGTTAATGCCCCCTGGCCTCCCTAGTATGCTCCTAGGCATGGGGCATTTTCTGCTGAAGAAGGCTCAGCAGTTGATGCATTGGCCACCCCCCAGCCACATGGAGGCCCTCTGGCTCAGCCCAACTGTGCCTGGTCCTCATGGATCACTTGGGGAACCTAACCTCAGCCAACTTCTCCTGGTCACCTCCTCCCCACTCTTCACATGGAGTTAGGCCCCTGACCCCAAACAGTGCATGGCTACCTTTCCTGCAGGTCTCGGAGAGGAGGCTGCGCCCCTTACCACAGAAGCAGAGGACTCTGCATGAGAAGATCCTGGAGGAGATCAAGCAGGAGCGGAAGCTTAGGCCAGTAGGGAACTCGCCCTGGGACACTCGAGGTGAGGGCCTGTATCCACCCTTCCAGCCGTCTATGTTTACTGTCTCCCCCACTCTCTCTTCACACTTAGTTCCCCCTCATGTTCACTGCCCCCCCATGCCCACTGCTCCTCCCCCATTCCCACTGCCCCTCCCCCTCATGCTTACTGCCCTCCCCCACATCCACTGCCCCTCCCCCTCATGCTCACTGTCCTCCACTGCTCATTCTCATGGTCTCCCCACCACAATCAATGCTCCACACCTCCCATGCTCACTGCCCCCCTCCCCTCCAGGGTTTGGCTCTCTGCCCTGCATCCCCAACGCCTGCTCCGGGGATGTTAAGTCCACTTCCTGCATCAACTTGTCTGTCACGGATGCTGGGAGCAACTCTCAGCGCCCGAGACCCCGGGTCCTGCTCAAGGCGCCCACCTTGGCCGAGATGGAGGAGATGACCACTTCAGAGGTCAGAAACTACTGAGAAGACATGGAGTGGGGATGGAGGAGGGCCAAGGCTGCTCAAAGCTCAGGGCAGGCAGCCCTCCTTCCCCTAGTAAAGGGTTCACCTGGAGGTGATGCAAGTGAGCCGTCCCTGGACTGGGACCCTGGCAGCCTAGTCCCTTTGGAGGGTGACCACAGTGATGGCCTCGACCTGTGGTCATCTGGCAGGCTCAGCCTCTATCTGACACCAAATTTGTCCTCTTCCCATTTTTCTGAAGGCCTTGGGGAAGGTCTGTTTCTCCAAGTGTCTGTTTTATTGCCTGGGTCCCTGTGGGTTCCGTGGGTCCAGGGAGGGGCTGGGCACTGGGGACAGAGAGGTCAAGGCTGTGTCTCTGCAGGAAGAGGAGTCCCCGTGCAGCGAGACGACACTGAAGCGGGATCGCTCCTTCTCGGAGCAGGACCTGGCCCAGCTCCGCAGTGAGATGACCTCAGACCTTCCAGCCTCTGAACCTTCCACAGCGGGGAAGCTGCCAGCCCGGCCCCGAGCGGGCAGTGTGCACGTCTGGAGGTCCAGCAGCCAGGACCAGGGCGAGTGCCGTGCCTGCCCCGCCCCTCCCTCAATTCTGTGTTCTCCACAAAGTCACAGCCCTCATCCCTCACACTGCAAGCAACATCTGTTCCTCTTGTTTAATTTATAATTTTTTATGTTAAATAATCCATGCTCATTATAAGACTTCTTATAAATGGAATTTAATTCCTGTATGATCTTGATATAATTACTGTAAAAGTCCTGGGAGATGGATTTAGACAAACAGGTAGATAGCCAGATAGATTTTACCACTTGCTGTCAAGTCTATTCTGACTCAGAAATACCGCACATTTATCAGAAATGCCGCACACTTATCAGAAACACTGCACATTTATCAGAAACACCGCACAGTGATCAGAAACACCGCACAGTGATCAGAAACACCGCACAGTGATCAGAAACACCGCACAGTGATCAGAAACACCGCACATTGATTAGAAATACTGCACATTGATCAGAAACATTGCACATTGATCAGAAATGCCGCACACTTATCAGAAACACCTCACATTGATCAGAAACATTGCACATTGATCAGAAATATTGCACATTGATCAGAAAAGTGCACATTGATCAGAAAAGTGCACATTGATCAGAAACACCGCACATTGATCAGAAACATTGCACATTGATCAGAAACGCCGCACATTGATCAGAAACATTGCACATTGATCAGAAACACCTCACATTGATCAGAAACACCGCACATTGATCAGAAACATTGCACATTGATCAGAAACATTGCACATTGACCAGAAACGCCGCACATTGATCAGAAACACCACACATTGATCAGAAACACCGCACATTGATCAGAAACATTGCACATTGACCAGAAACGCCGCACATTGATCAGAAACACCGCACATTGATCAGAAACATTGCACATTGACCAGAAACGCCGCACATTGACCAGAAACGCCGCACATTGACCAGAAACGCCGCACATTGATCAGAAACATTGCACATTGATCAGAAACATTGCACATTGATCAGAAACATTGCACATTATTAGTGCTGCTGGGTTTCCAGTGGCTGATTTCAGAACTAGATTGCCAGTCCTTTCTTCCATGGTGCCTGTGGGTCTGGACTTAAACCTTTAACTTTTTCATTAGCAACCAAGAACGTTTAACCATTTGTATCTCAGGGTCTTCGTAGACAGACAGCTACAGACAGATTAGATAGAGACAGGTAAGTAAGTAGGCAGGTAAACTAACCCTAAAGCAAACCCACTACTGCAGATTCTGACTCAGAGAGACCCTATTTGAACTAAGTAGAACTATTTCTTAAAGCAGATAGCCTCATCTTTCTCTCACAGAGGGGCTGGTGGATTTGAACCACCGACATTGTGGTTAGCAGCCCCATTTTTACCCAGGGCTCCTTAGGTAAGTCACTGTCATGAGGTCGACTCTAACTCCTAGTGACTCTGCAGGACCAGCACTGCTCCATAGGGCTTCCCAGACTGCACATCTTTATGGCAGCAGATAGCCTCATCTTTCTTGGAGTGGCTGGTGGTTTTGAACCACCAACCTTGCAGTTAGCAGCCCAACGCTTACCCCATAGTACCACCAGGCTCCTTAAGTAGGTAGGTAGCTAATAGACACAGAGTATGCTCTGGTAGCGTAGTGGTTATGAATCGGGCTGCAAACCTTAACAGTTGGAAACTACCAGCTGTTCCGCGGGAGAAAGATGAGGCTTTCTGCTCCCGTAAAGATTTATAGCCTTGGAAACTATGAGTCGGAACTGACTCCACGGCATATAACAACAACATGGCCTCCATAACAAGCCAGGTGGGCCCACACAGCATGTGTGTGTCTTGACAGGCCTCCTTCTCTTTTCCAGGTTCCCTCCCTGTGAGTGTCCACGCTCGGCCTGCCCCTGGCCTGCCCCCCATCAGCAGCCTCGGTGCTGTCCAGGAGAAGCCCGAGGCCGCTGCAGCCCTGGACAGCCAGACCAAACACCTGTGGTTGGTGAGTTGTTTTGACCAGACTCTGTGTGCCAGTGTGGGGAGCTCTCGGGCTGGTGTCAGGAATGATGAGGCTGATGTGTTTTGTGTACTGAGTCCACTGATGAGCCGCCATCTTGGAAAGCTTGGTCTCCACTGCCCCCTGCTGGGGAGGCTTGGCACTACGGCGGGAGCCAACAGAAGCCCTGCAAAGTGGTAGCATCTGAACCATCCTGAACTAAAGCCTGGGAGCCCTGTGGGGGCTGAGGCAGATGACAAACAAAAGGTCTCTTAGCGGGTCATGAGGCCCAGTCACAGAAGCCACAAGAGTTGTTTATTACTACAGTGGAGCTGATATGCAGCCCCATTTTACAGAGGCGGGAACTGAGGCTCAGGGTAGAGGAGGGCCCCGTTTTATGCTAGGCTGTAGGAAGTCCTGCGGGACATGCTCACACAGTAGCTGCCAGGAGAGGCAGGTGACCATGATCCGCGGGGATGTGCTGAGTACCAGCAAGGGGCGGTGGGCGTGCCCTGGGGGGTGGTGAGGACGCAGAGCTCCTAGAACCTTCCAGTGGGGATCGGATGATAGGGAGTACCAAGAAATGATCAGAGAAGAAAGGTTTGAGATGGCCTGGCCACCCTCCCCCCCCGCCCCCCAGTGCCACAACTTATGGGTGGGACCAGATGCTATGGGTGGGGCCTGTTGTGGGATGGGCTGGTGGGTGGGGCACATGGAAGGGTGAAGCCAGTGGTGTTGATGGGACCCTGGTGGGATAGGGCTGCAGAGATTGGTGGAGCCTGTGGAGTTGGTGGGGTCAGAGGATGTGGGCAGGGTCTTGGTATGGGTAGGGCTCGTGGGGGTGGGTCCTGGTATAACACTGCAGGCTATCACCAGCCGTTCCTTGGAAACCCTATACAGGGTCTCTATGAATTAAAACAACATTACCAAGAACAAGTATTCCAGAATACTTGGTGGTACTCACGAGAAACTTGTACATAGACCAAGAGGCAGTTGTTCAAGCAGAATAAGGGAACACTGAACGGCTTAAGATGAGCAAAATGTGCGCTAGGGTTGTATTCTTTCACCATACTTACTTAATGTGTATGTTGAGCACATAATTTGAGAAACTGGATTATATTAAGAAAAACTTGACATCAGGATTAGAAGAAGACTGTTAAAAGTCTGCAATATGCCGATGATACAACCTTGCTTGTTGAAAGTGACGAGGACTTAAAATACTTACTGATGAAGATCAAAGGCCACACCCTTTGGTATGGGTTGCACCTCAGTGTAAAGACAAAAATGCCACTGGACAATAATAAACAACAGAAACGGAGAAAAGATTGAAGTCAAAAATTTCATTTTACTCATATCAGCCGACACTCATGGAAGCAGCAGTCAAGAAATTAAACCATGTGTTGCCTTGAGCAGATGTGCTGCACGAGACCTCCTTAAAGTGTTCAAGAGCAAAGACGTCAGTGTGAGGACTAAGGTGCGCCTGACCCAAGCCACGGTATTATCAATAACCACATATGCATGCATAAGCTGGGAAGTGAATAAGGAAGACCATAGAAGAATTGATGCATTTGAGTTATGGTGTTGGAGGAGAATATTAAAAGTACCATGGACTGCCAAATGAACAAACTAACTGGTGCTGGAAGAAGTACAACCAGAATGTTCCTTGGAATCCAGGATGGCCACACTTTGTCCATCCTTTATCGATCCATAATAGGTCTCTCATACTTTAGACCTAGTGTCAGGAACGACCAGTCCCTGGAGAAGGATATCACGTTTGGTAAAATGGAAGGTCAGATAAAAAGAGGAAGACCCCCAACAGTATGGACTGGCACGTTGAGCAGCAATGGGCTCAAATGTAGCAATGGCTGTGTGGTTGGCACAGAATCAGGCAGTGTTTGTGCATAGGATCACTATGAATCTGTAGGGACTTGAAGAAACTTAATTTGGGACTGAGTGGGACCTTGGGGTGGGTGGGGCCAAAAGATGTGGGTAGGGCTTTAGAATGAGCAGGGCCCATACTTGGGCTGGGTCCTAATTGGGTGGAGCTGGCCACAGCTCCTTGTCCTAAAAAGAAACAAGCCAAACTGATGAATGGATGCTTTAGGAAGTTGCTGGGCTTAACTTGAAATGAGGGTCCTAGGTGAACAGACATTTGGGCAAAGCTCTCCCTTGATAGGCCTGGTGCCTGGGGTGCTGAGTGAGAACCGATTTAACACCCCACTCCCGCCTCAGGAGTTCAGTCACCCGGTGGAGAGCCTCGCGTTGACAGTGGAGGAGGTGATGGACGTGCGACGGGTGCTGGTGAAGGCCGAGATGGAGAAGTACCTGCAAAACAAGGAGCTCTACAACAACCTGAAGAAGGGGAAGGTCAGGGGGGACCCCCAGACTGCCCGTCACTGGGCGGAGGAGGGCACAGCTGAGGATGGTGCCCTGGGACCACAGTGAGTTTTGTTCCCTACAGATCTGCTGCTGCTGTCGAATCAAGTTCCCACTGTTCTCCTGGCCAGCTACCTGTCTCTTTTGCAAGAGGTGAGCCTTTCTGTTGGCGCCTTGGAAGTGAGTTAGCACAGATGGAGGAGGTAAGAACTTCTAGGCCAGAACTGAGCACTAGAACTTACTGTGATGATGGGACACTCTGTTTTGTGCTACAGAGAAACTGCAGTTTTTACTCAACTTAATTTAGATTTAAGTAGCTCAAAAGACTTCCACTTTCAGTCAAGATGGGCGAACAGCAACAACAAAATCCTGGCAAATGATGCCAAGCAGTGGTTTTTCAAGACACCGGGCATAAGAGGAAAACAAATGAGGTGAGTTTACAATTGTCCTGTGGTGACTGGAGCTGAACAGAGTCTGCTGGGCTTCTTAGTGAAGAGGTAATGCTGAGGGTCCAGGGAGCCCCAGCATCTGGATGGAGTTCACAGGACAGAGTTCTGGGGAGAAATATGCAGAATGTGAATACTTTTCAGTAGACTAGGATCAGAATGTGAAATTAAACTAGTGGGAAGTTTATTGATGGTAAAGTAATTAAATTGTTGGACATCCATGCAATAGAACATCGTCCTTGACTTGGAAAAAAAAAATGGCCATGAATAGTTGTACTAATGTATTGAAGAGCCCCTGAATGTGGTTATAGAATTGTGTGCGTTTTATACCATTTTCTTTTTGGTTAGGAAGTGTTTATTGTGAATTGAGTGAACATTTACAGTGCAGATTATCAGTTTTACATTCAATCAATCATAGTGTTTTATTTCATTGATTTCAATTTCCTCCGTGTACTAACATTTGTCAACAGTATTTTTTACTATTCTCCCATCTTTTTATTTTTTTATGTATATGTACAAAACGGAAAGTACATATTTGTTTAAATGTCCAAAGAGCAAACTTTGCAGGGCAGGCTTCTGGCTGCAGGCACACGGCCTTTCTCAGTCCGTGGCCCTTTAGGCCTCAGCTCGGTCTTTCTTTGCCATCACCTCTACCACTGTCTCTGCTGGTGCAGCTTTTCTGGTTAGGATCCCACGCTCCACTCATGCTCCTTGACCCTCTTGCTAGTCTTAGGTCACCTGCCCTTTCAGTTACACATTTTCTACATTTACAGTTGTGACAATCATAATTAGTCCTGATAACAATTACACACAATTGAATCGTAAAATCCTATCCCCATCCTCCCCCATCCCCTTTCACCAGACCCATGTGGGAAAGAGGAAAACTGTTCAGTTCTGAAACTAAGCACGCTCATGAAAGCTTGTAAGCCAGCCACTTCATGCCTTTATAGCCCCCCATTTTGATATCTCAGTTGCCTGGCTCTATCAACCCAGTGTCCTGAGGAGGCAGGCTTGATCCTTGATGTGAAGAGTCCTTTCCTTTCGATTGGAACATCCACTACCTCCACAAGCAAAGGTTCAGTTCTTCAAATTGTAGCAATTTATGCTTGCTTCCTGTATCAAAATTCTTTATCTTCATGTGGTCGAGTTCTGGTCAGTTGGCCATCCAAGGCAGGTCAAAAGGGTACAGTCTGCAAGTCTGGGAGTTCTTGCATGCCCCTTCACATTTCAGATCAGCTGACCACTTCACTTTCAGGTCAGTTCATGGGCCTGAGAGTTCACATACCTCCCAGAACTTCATCAGGCAGCTCTGCCTCTTGTCTCTCTGATTGCAATGTCAGCGGTACATACACCATTTTATTTTTAATTGATACTTTTGTTAATGTGTAGAAAACCCTGGAGGATGGAAACTGTACTGCCAACAGGGTGTAACCCTGGAAAGGGGGCTTTGAGAACAGGGTTCCTGTCCCTATGGTAATTTTCTCTAGCATGTGAAGTTTTTTCATAACAAGTAGTATTTGCTTTTTTAAAAAAATGTTTTATTGTGAATTATGTGATAGTTTATGTGGGAGAACATTAGTTTTACATTTATCCTATATCATTTCATTGCTATGGTTACAATCCCCTCCATGCATCAACAATCATCCAAAGGGTATACCCTGTAAGCCTGCCCCCTGGTCATCAGCACACAGCCCCTCTCCCTCTCTGTGTCTAAAGTCCCCAACAGCTCCATCTCTCCATGTCATCATCTCTGTCTCTATCTCAGGCATCACTGCTTCTCTGGGTAGGGTCCCGCTTGTATCTGTTTCCTGTCCCGATGGAGAGGGAACAGCTAGAGGGTATGAGAGAGAACTTCAGAGAGGATGTTCCAAGGAGACAACTGCAAGGGTGCAGGAGTGTTTGGGGTGAAAAGTTAGCCAGAAGGAGCAAAATGTGAAAGTGAAGTAAGCAGGCTCGCTGAAGGACAAAGCTGGCCTGATGTGGGACGTGTGCCCACAGGACACAGGCTGGGAGGCAGTGTCTGAGAAGAGCTGACTTTGCTTTCCCACCTTTGTCTCTTCCAGAGCTGTCTGCGCTTCCTGTAGCGTAAAGGTGAGTCCTTGGGGTCTGAGGGCGGCTTGACTGGTGTCCCAGGAATGGCAGGGACATGTGGACACAGGGAATTGGGAAATCTGCAGTCTCCCATTAGATGCCCTCTCACGTCACTTCACCCTGTCATCCTCCAGGAAGAATCCATTCCGAAGCTTCCTGGGACTCTGTGCCATTTTAAAAGACTCTCATAACCAAAACCTAACCTACTGCCACCGAGTCGATTGATACACAGCACACTGTGGGACAGAGGAGGACTGCCCCGTAGGGTTTCCCAGCATCCTGTGGGACAGAGGAGGACTGCCCC